TATATATATATATATATATATATAATATAAAAAATATTAGTTACACATATTTATTTATCTCAATAAATGTGCATACACCTAAACAATGAAAACTACTAAGAAAAATCATAGGTGTTGTCAGGAAAGCATGAAGTGAGTGGAAGTGGCATGAAAAGTGGCAAAAACGGGATTTTAAAAGTGAGGTTTATCTCTCCACATCTCCAGTGTTGAGGTTGGGTGTGGTTTGAAAATGTGTCAGCACATTTACATCAATTACTGTTTTTGGCTTATCCAATTCAGCACCTCAAGAGGGCATGAGACTACCACAGCTGTCATAGAGCGATCCAGGTGACTATTATTACTATTTTTATTGTTATCATTACTATTATTATTATTATCCATCAATTTACTTCTTCTTCTTTTCCAATTCAGTTTTCCAGGAGGGCAGAAAACGACCACAACTGTCATAGAGCGATCCAGGTGGATATTATTATTATTATTATTATTATTATTATTATTATTATTATTATTATCCGTTAATTTATTTCTTATTTTCCAATTCAGTGTTCCAGGAGTGCATGAGACTACCACAGTTGTCACAGACCGAAACAGGTAAATTATTATTATTATTATTATTATTATTTTTATTATTACATTAAACAACAACAACAACAACAACAGTAATGTCTTCCTGTCTCTCTGCTTTGTTTCCATGTCTTCAGGTCTCCTCCAGCTGTTGTCTCCACCCTGTGGCTTGTATCTGTGCTTGTGGCCTTATCTTTGTTTTCTTTAACTGTTTAGCAAAAACAGTTTTATCATCTACAATATTGCTGTGATTCTTCATACAATTGTTTTACATGTTATCTGACTGATTGTGTTGAATTAGTTATCTTAGCAGCAATTTTCTGCTTCTGTCATATGTTATGAATTATAGACTGCATGACTTCAGAATATTTGATAAAGATTTTAAAGGGGTGCAGAAAATTGGTGTAAAACACAGTGGGTTCAAATTTCAAGCTCATGTGCAGCTGCTGTCAAGACCAACTAGAAATAATATGCAATCATGAGATGCTTTTATTTGTTCTTATGGTCACATAGATCGATAGATAGATATTGATAGGTTTTATAGACTTTATTAAGCCTGCACAGTTAATTTGTTCTAGCGGCACAGAAAAAAGGTGAATTTGATATAGATTAGAAAAGAAAAGAAATAAGAAAAAATGTATACAGATTAAAAAAACAACAAAATACTATAGAAAAGTGTATGTTACTGTAGTAAAATACACTGCAAGACATGTCACAGAGATTATGTTATATGTATATAAAGTGCAGTGGGACTGATAACATATACATGTATGTATTTTAGTAGGTATCTGTGATATGTGCGCATTGTACTGTCTGACTGATTTGAAGGACTTACGAAAGCGCTCTGTCCTAAACAGTCGCTGATGCTCTTCCTGCCAAACTGCTTCTGTTTCCCTGTCAAATAAACAACATGCAAAATATAAAAGGCTTTGCAATGAATTTAGCCTGATCACACAAACATTTTACCCACAAATACGTTTTTTTTCCTTCTTATATCATGTACTTTCATCTGCTCAGTCATCCTGGGAAATATTGTTTTTCTTTTTATTGATTTATTGTTTGTTTCTTTTTTGTATTGTTTGATTTTTATTGTTACATTTGTATGTTCTTTTAGTGCTCACACCTGTGGAGTTTATGGCCATGAAGGACACTGGCATCAGACAATTAGGACAGGCCTCTTTCAGCCAGAGGACTAAAAGGGGTTTGGTGGGAGGGATGAGAGACAAAGGGAGCTGCTGGAGAGAGAGTGGAGAGGCAGGGCAGGCTATGCCTGTGTCCCAGCCTTTGTAATGCTATAGACAGAAGTTTGAAACAGCTGGCAGTTCCAGAAAATCAACTGCAGATAGAGTATAGACATCTGCGCGATGTCTGTGAGTACTGCTCCACTAAAGTAAATCAAGTGACTGTCAGTTGTTTTCCAAGGTTGGGGTGCAGCACTTGGCAACGTGGCAAGTAGAGTGGTGTGTTTCTACTGTACTTGAGCACTCAAAACACTTTAAAGAACAGGCTACATGGAAATATGAAGGATGTTGTTTCCACAGAAATATAACCCAGTGTATATGATTTTCTACGAATGCCTTGAATCTGCCCAGTAGTACCCACTTTCTCATACTCAAGCTGAAAAGTTTTGAAATAAAAAGTACCATCAAAGTTCACTGGAAACCTACGTTAGGAGGAACATTTCCTCCAAGCTGAATCAGGGCATGTTTCAACATTTGCAAGTTTCCCAAAAATGAGAACTTCAAAAGTGGATAGATCATGACATCTCTCAATATCAAAGTGTTGTCAGCTGAGTTAATTTGTTACTGCCTAGTGTGGTGAACAGTTCTGTGAGACCAGACTATTCACATTGTTTGGTGACTTTTCATTCCTTAAATTTTAAGATACCCAGATTTTCCAACTACGATGCGTCTGGTTAACTTTAGTAAAGAGAAGCACTGAGGTATTTGAAATGGTAAATGGTAAATGGCCTGTATTTGTATAGCGCTTTTACTAGTCCCCCCCTAGAGACCCCAAAGCGCTTTACACACCCAGTCATCCACCCATTCACACACACATTCACACACTGGTGGAGGCAAGCTACAGTTGCAAGCTACAGAAGCGAGGCTGCCATATCACGCCATTGGCCCTTCTGGCCAACACCAGTAGGCGGTAGGTGAAGTGTCTTGCCCAAGGACACAACGACTGAGACTGTCCAAGGTGGGGCTCGAACTAGCAACCTTCCGATTACAAGGCGAACTCCCAACTCTTGAGCCATGATCATACTAAATAAATACATACATAAATCATGTTAGAACAGAGATACAAAGATAAGTTATCTCTGGGCTGGGCTTAAAATGGGCTTAATGATGTAAGTATTACTCATCATTGTGCAACAAATCTGAACAAGCTTTCGGGAACTAGACTAAGACTAAGGAGTTCATTGTAAAATATCTTGTTTCACTTCCCAGAGACTGTTGTTCTCATTGCTTCCCAGCAGTTTAATCGACTCTTTTTGCTAAGTTGTTAATACAAGTTCAATCTCCTTGCTTCAGGTATGTACCTTTCAGTCTTTTCAACAGTTACATTTTTTAACTTGCCAAATTCCAAGAAGTAGAAAAGATCTTGCCAGATTCAAATTTCAATGTCAATGTTAATTTTAATGTTATTTATATGGCATATTTCTATAGCAAAATCAATAAAGACAATACAATATATTATATATGCAAACAATTACAATATTATGTGACTAAAAACAAAATGAAATAAAGAGACCACAACATAAAAAAAACCCTTGATAAGACTCAACATGAACTTAAATTCAAAGCCAAGGTAAAAAAATGTGGTTTTAAGACAGGATTTAAAGACTACATAGACTCAGTAGGAATATCAAATGACCTGTTATACGAGAGTCTAGTGGATTCAACTCTCTATGTTTAAATCGAGACCCCGGCTACACTAAAACATCTGGGCAGATGATCTTGGTGCTCTTCTCGGATCATGTAAGTTTAGCAGTTTGGTTTAAAAGTTGGCACCATAGCATTTGAAGATTTGAAAGTAAGTAAAAGAATCTTCAAATCAATATAAAAATGGACAAGCATCCAATGTAAACTTGCTAAAAACTGGAGTGACGTAATCGTCCCTTTAATACCTGTTAAATGACTTGCAGCAACATTTTGAATTTTGAATGCAATGGAGAGATGAGTGTTCAAGACCCAAATACAGAGAACTGTAGTTGTCCAGTCCAGACTTAGTGTATGTCTTTCGTGTGTAAAATGTCACCGAGCTGTTTTTTGACTACATTTGATCCTGCCCTGCTTTCTTTCAGTCTGTAGAAGAACAAGAAGACAAAAAATGGAGAACAGAATAAAAGGGCTTGTTGTTGCAATAATTTTCACAGTTGCCTGCAACAAAGTAAGAATTAAGTTTCGTACAAACAAATATTAGAAGGTTAAAACATTCTTCACTTA